TTTTGAAGGTTTTTTTTGAATATCTCGACAGGATTAGCTCGAATCTCAAATCTGAGGAAATATAGGGGAAGCGCCTTGACGAGCTGAATCCAAAAATGGTCTCAGATTTGAAATTTGATAAAATCCAGGGGGGGAAAAAGGCAAAAGAAAGATTTTTTTCTTGACTATCTCGACAGGATTTGGTCAAATCCAAAAAAAAAATATGTATACGTACGCGCCTTGACGCGCTGAATCCAAAAATGGTCTCACATTTGAAATTGGATGAATTCAAGGGGGAAAAATTAAAGGTTGAAATTTCTGCTATTTGCACTTAAAATTCGTAACATTTTTAAGAGTGCAATAAATTAAAAGCACCATGGGCATGAAGTACACCTTTGCGTTAACACGCTCTAATAGTATGAGCTAAGTGCAAGCATTTGCTGTTGAGTTATAAGCATCTCAAAATTAATTAGGGTCGAAACTTTGATATTTYTTCCAAGTCAAAACCGAGTCTCTCAGAATTTATTCCTTATTCATATAGCTAGTTCTTATCAGCGTTTAAAGGGGAGTATTATAAACATATAAAGTTTGAGCAATTTGTCGACTTCCATACAAAACACCACCTCTACAAGTCATTTTTAAAGCATGTTTTACGTCATTTTGAGCATTTTCATTTTTGCATAAATTACAAACTTATGAATAAATTTGCATTTTAATTAGTATTTTTAAAAAATTCATATCTCAGCTAGGTTAAGTTTTTTAAAGCTAAAACTCAGTTATTTATAATCATAATCATAATGATTAGTGAAATGGGAAGACTTCGACAGTCGGATCAAAGTTGACAAAATCAAAGTAACTGTATCTAAAGGAGAAGTCAAATACTTTCTTATAACTATCTTTAACACCACTGGCCGTATACAAGTACAAGGTCAGTGGCACAGTGAGTGGGCTTGTCATGAGTTTCCTTTATTATTACGCTATGTAAAATYGCACTTCGACAATAATCAAGAAACAAGCCTAAAATACGACTTATTCCAATATACAGAAACTAACGAAGAGATTCACGAAGAAGTTAACGAAGAAATTAATGAAGTGAACGAAGAATGTGCCGAAGATAAGAAGTMAATTGAGTCAAATCACGACAGTGAGAGTGAGAGTGACAGTGATGATGATAGCGACGATGAGTCATACGTCGACAATTCAATCAAAACAACTATCGCTCAGTTAGAAAATGACTTTGTCAACTCTAAAATTACTTTTGAAAGTGACATTTCTTCTCTAAAGAATTCTCTATTAGAAATATCTACCATTAAGGATAAGTTAGTAGCTATTGAAAATAATTTCAAGGCCAAACTAACAGCCTTAGATGACCGCATATTTCATAACAGCAATTATCATAAATCTCTGGATGATAATTTCGTCGCAAATGAAAAAAATGCAACATCAGATTAACCAGTTACATAACAACCAATTGCAGTTGAAAGAAGAGCTGAAAGAAGCTAAAAAGGAAAACGTTACTTTAAAACAAGAACTTTTTATTCTAAAAGAAATTATCCAAACCCATGATAATGCATTACAGTCTAGAGATGACAATGGCAATAAAACAGCACYGGAAGTTAATACAGAACCTGAGGTTTTTCAGGTTAACAACTGTGTTGAATCGGTGTTAAACAAGACAAACAACGAAGAAACAAATCATCAGGAAAACAAAGGAGCATCCTGTGACAAAGAATCAATCATAATACTAACTGACTCTAATGGAAAATTCATTAACACAAACCAAATACATGATTCTAAAGATGTTCACCATTTTACAACGTATACTCTAGAACAAGCTTATTCTAAAATCAAAGAATTGAAAGTATCAAATCCTTCAGTTATACTTCTACACTGTGGAACAAAYGACATTGAGAAGAATAATGTATCAGTTGTCGTTGATGAATCAACTAAGCTACTACAATCCATGCAATCAAAGTATCCCTCTGCACGCATCATATACTCCTCTCTTCTACCACGTTTTGATGCRAAACATGCCATCACTATACAATTGAATGAGAAGATGAAACAGTTATGTGATAATAMTGTTTCTATGGTCTATTTGGATAATTCCTACATTAACAATTTTAGCTATTTTTATGACAATAAACATTTAAATCGTCGTGGATTTAAAGTCTTTGCCAAGAATATGAAAAGATCAATTTATGGGACATATAAGAAATCTAATCACCAAATAATTAACGACAGTCTCAACTCCACGCCCATCCGACACTTAAATGCATCTAGTATCCATCATGAACAACGAAGGAATCCCACTTCATACCACAGGCAACAACAGCGTTACCCACAACAAATGGTCCTTCGTCCAAACAACAGGCCATCATATGCGAATGTTCTAGCATCAACAAYACAGCATCAAAGAGATTTTCACTCAAATAACGCYCCATTCAACTCAAGCGTTCCTGCACCAACAATTCAACATCCTAATGGTAACATACCGGGTAATCAASCACGTCTAAATAATTTATCAGGTTTACCATTTCAACTTAAATCCTTAATTCAACAACTAAGTTCTTTTATTTAGTATCTATCTATWTATATATACATTTGAATACATCTAAATCTCAAAACATTAGTYYTATAGTTTAATTTGTTTTATGTCTTATTTTATACATTTTAAGACTTGAATGATTCATTTTAATTCAATTTAGTTATTTTTAGTGTCTTAAAGTTTTATTTCAAATAGCTAATTAATTTTACACATTATAGATACATCTTTACATATAGTGATATTAGACAAGTTATTACATTTCATTAGTAACACTATTTTATAT